CTACCCCTTCTGAACTGCGGCTCGTCAGTGCAGAGGGTTGTAGTTTTCCGCCTGTCCATCACGTGCAAGTACATTACTACATACGCGGGCCTGTTGGTCTTTGGAGTAAAGCTGCGCTGACGTACAATTCCGAGCAATATGCCCAGGCTGATTACAACGCCTACAAATAATAGGTCCTTGCCGTCTAGCATAACCGCCTCCCTGTTGGGACTGGAGTTGCTGTAAACTTTGAGTAAGTAAATTAAGCTGTTCTTGCTGGGCTCTCATCATTTTCTTTATCTCCATTAACTCTGAGGTGTTAACATTAAGTGACTCAGAGGAAACCATCTGTCCCTGTACCCTATACTGAAGCGCAGAGGAAACTGGGACAGAATTACTTCTCTCCCTCATCTCATAGTGAAATCCCTCTTCCACCCACCTAATGGCTTCTTTTCGAATATCCAAAAGAGTAAACGTAGGATTTAATCTAACATGCCGTTTAAGTTCCCGTCTCAACCCACTATCAAGCACATGTTCTACAAACTGGTCTCGAAGTAGGACGTCCGAATTAGGTATACCCCCTGGAGCCTGTTGGACTACCTTCTCCATTAGGGCAAACAGAGCATGTGAATACTCCTGTAGGGATTCCCCCTCTAGCTGTCTCCGAGCAAAAAAACTTTGCTGTAAAGCAATATAGGACTGTGGGTATCCATAAAGTTCTTGTAAAATCAAAAAGATTTGCTCTGGGGTTTCCCTATCCTTCTGGGCTCTATACTTAATTTCATTCTTAGCAGGACCCCCCAAATGATCAATCACAAACAAAACCTGCTCAGCTGAAGGCAAATGTCGACCCTTTAAGCAAGCCTGGATCTCCTCCACCCATTCAAATACACTGTCTTCACCCCTTCCACTAAAAACACGACACTTCCGTTCCCTAGGAACGTAGACTATCCGTTCAACTATGGGACTAGGGGCAGGAATGCTACTCACAGTCGATGAAGCTGTGGCTGCTGCAGCTTGACTCGACTGTTGTTGATGCAACCGCTCATTCTCTCCCCTCAGTGACTCCACCTGCTGTCGCAACTCCTCCAATTCCTTCTCCATACTTAGCTCTTACCACCAAGTAAAGGAAGAGGAAAACAGAAAACACAAACCCCTACAAATCACACGACTGAACTCACCAACTGCCAACTGCTGCTTTGCTGTAAAACAACGAGATCAGAAAATAAGATACAACGCACAATAACAATACCACACACCGAACAATATGCAACAAAAACTGGTAGGCGAGAAAGAGAAAAAAAAATTCAAAATATTCACCGTCACACCACCCTTGGTTCCGATTGGGCAATACTAAGCAAATAAGTTAGTGTCACATCATCACTACAATCATAACAACGACACCAACTTCTAAAAATAATAATCATAAACTAATAATAATGACAACAGCAACCAAAGCAACCCATACAAAGAAAAAAAGAAAAACAAAATGGAATAACACTTCGTACAAAATCACATCACTCAAAGCAAATAACAAACACACTAGACTAACATGGTTTCCGACGGCAACACTCGTAGATGGTTTGAGGACCTGTATAAACCATACAGCGAGCGCGCATGAATGAGGCAGCGCACATGAATTGGCCAAAGAGGATGGAGTCCGAAGCGCTTGCGTCTGATGTCCACACACGCACGCGTAGGAATGCCGTTCAGAATAGGGCCAGATGCCACTTAAATTACAGCAAAGCAGCAGCTAGCAGACTCTGCAAAACAACAACATTCCTTAAAACTCTTTTCCTTTTTTTTTCTACGTTTACTCTAACACACAAAACTTACCTTTGGAATAAACTCTACATTACGCACATAAATTGGCCGCACATAATCAGGTTAATTTCAGACTGCCACCACTATCCTTAAAAGAAAAATACACTCATGTAAACTTAATAATCCATTCCATCTTACTCACGGTTTCTAACATGCTCTACTCACTGGAGGGCTAGTGGAGAGACTCCCATCAACCGGTCCAAACAACAAAATGCCAACCCGAGACGGAGCGCGCACCTGCTCATATAAAGCCTTGACGTGATTGGCACGCAACGCACGCACCTAAAGGGTCCGCCTACCACATTAGTATTAGTGGGACCTAACTATTTTGTTAATTACTAAATGCCCACAGAGCATGCTCATAGGACATACTTCTGACTCAGATAGTATACCTATACTTCGCCCATTGTGGCTATATACACTACACTTTGTGTGGACTTGCTATGGGCCCACAGTGAACTTCTGTTTCGAGTGGGCCAGCCCACAGTTTGGTCTAGCGACATTGTATATGTTTTTGGTATAGACATGTTAGTTTGGGAATTTGTGCACTAAAACTGTACACTTAAGTACATGAAGGTGAGCTTAAGCAAACTGCATTAAACATTCAAAACTATTGTATAATAGGCTAAGAGAGACAATAGAAAAGCATATCTTAATTAAGATATAAATTGGATCCCATTAAAATATTGTAGAAATTATCCTAAAGGATTTTTATGTATTGTACTATAAAACAATCCTATAGGAATGGTTGCAAAATATGATCAAAATTCTAATTGAATTCAGAAGTCCACAACATGTTCATTAACTGAAAACACAGCTGAAGGTGCTACAATTAACATATAAACACCCTAGACAGCACATCACATCACCACTGCTTTTTCTGTGACAGACACAGGTCTCATCTAGGAATCATACCACGAGACCAACAAGCCCTGAAGAAGTCCTCAGCAGTGCCAAAAAAAATTTCTGTGAAACTGGTCCAATCTACTTTTTGTTCATGTTGTTTTTGTTACGTGCGTCAGCAACTCCCTGGATGCATATAACAGTTCACAGGCAGTAAAAACGGCCCAGTGGCCTAATGGATATGGCATCACCCTTCGAAGCTGGGGATTGTTGTTATTTGCACACACCAGATCGTCTGAAACCAATAGGGATCCTAAAGTGCTGTTTTCTGAGTTACAACAGCTTCCTGAGTCATACAACAGATATTGCAAATGCTAGTATTGGTCCAGTGGCCAAATGGATAAAGCATCACCCTTCGAAGCTAGAGTTTGTGGATTCAAGTCCTGTTTGGTTTGTTGGGTTACTTTTAAGTTGTGTGAAAAAATCCTGACTTGTCTACTCAAAGCTTAGGTGTGAGGATCTGAGCACAATAGTTAGCTTCGAATTCTCAGACTTGCTGCACACTTCAATTAAGATTTTTGCTTGAATCTCACTGTCACGTTAACAAACTAAAAGGTTCCGCTAAGCTCTGGTAATGGAGATCTTGACTTCAAGTACCCCGTGGCTCTCAGCTAACGGTCTCATGTTAGGTGGATGGTGATGAAATGCAAACAAGAAAATAGCTGCAGAAAGGTTGTGATTTCAAGTTAATGAGAGTGGCCTTGACTGGAATTCGAAACTCTCAAGACCAGTCACATTATACACTAGAACCATACCCCAGAACCAATGAGACAAGAATGTGAATGATTGCAGAAAGAAAATGTTTGGCCATTAGTTCTTATTTGACGGAATGCAAACTGGCATCAAGATTCTAAAGTGCAGTTTTCCATGCGGTGGCATCTTGTTGAAGGCATACAAGAGATACTTGATTGAAATTAGTGACATGGCTCAGTGGCCCAATGGATAAGGCATGAGCCTCCGGAGCTGGTGATTGTGGGTTTTCCACTGAATGTTCATTAAAGAGCCCATATTATACATGAAATAGGGTCATATCTTGGTTGTAAGGGTCTCCAACAACAGTCTAATATGCATGCAAGGTCAAAAAACACTTTCATGGTCTTATAATCTGCATTTATTTTTACCTAATTATCCCAGCGACACCCGTATGAATCGTCCAGTGATTCATTTGTTCCCAAACCCCTCCTTAGCGCGAAGCTAATCTGCGCTGATTGGACCAATGACAGCCTGTTGCGATTGGTCGACTGCCTTCAGTCAGAGTGAAATGTCAAACAGCTAATCAGCAATATAAAAGTAATCATAGTTCATACACGCTCGATAGTGTAGGCGTGGATTTTAGCTGCCAGTGGGTCAATGTAAATACAGTCGATGGACTTGAAAATACAGACGTCTATCTATTTTATTGAGCAAAAACACCAAAAACTGTCGAGGAGATCAAATAGCTTGTCTCACTCTGCTCTTTTCACAGACACAAACACACACACACAAACACACACTACCCTCGTCCACGGAGCTCCGTAAACAAAGCAGCACGCGTTGCGTTTTTAACGTGACTTTGCACGCGATAAGAGAATATAGCCAGTTAACCTCATACAGTACACGCGGTTACAAGTAACAAATCACAACTAAATACTTTTGCAAGCCAGAGTCAACAAGGCAACAACTTTAATCGCACGTACTTACGCTTGAGAAATGGAGGAAGAAACCCATCCTTACGTCCATCAGTAAGTTACTCTTTACTGATCCTTCCTTTAACAAACGCTGATGAAGTATTCTTTGTAGCATGTAGTTTCCAGAAGTTTCCAGTAGTTTCCAACTGCTTGGCTATAATGCTGATGTTTCATCTTTGGGTAGAGACTCGATAATATCCATCTGCAGTGTGACTTCAATCAACCGGCATGTTTGTGTGCGTGTGTTTGTGGGTGTTTGTGTGTGTCTGGGTTTCTGCGTCAGAGGGCGGGGCCTCAGGTTTGAAATCTCCCGGGTTTGCGCATGCACGTGAATAACTTGGTTTTGTTCGTACGTCATGGCGAAACACCTAATGACTCGGTATCAAGGCGACTCGTTTGAAGCACTATGAGTCGACTCTTTTATAGATGAATCAACCGTTTTAAACACTGTACACTTACAGATTTAAGCCTTAGCTGGATACTTCACTTCACTTAGAGCTGTGTTACACACTACATGGTAGTTTTCAAAAACCCATAATATGGGCTCTTTAACTAAAGTCACAGCAAAAGGTACTGCAATTAACAAAGAAACACCAAATGACCACTGCTTTTTCTGTGACAGACAAAGGGCTCATCCAGGATTTGAACCTGGGACCTCTCACACCCAAAGCGAGAATTATACCGCGAGACCAATGAGCCTTGTAAAAACACTCTGCAGTGCCACAAAAAAAATCTGTGAAACTGGTCCAATCTTCGTTTTGTCCATGTTTTTGTTACGTGGGTCAACAACTCCCCGGATGCATATTAAAGTTTAAAGACAGTCAATACAGCCCAGTGGCCTAATGGATAAGGCACCAGCCTTCGAAGCTAGGGATTGTGGGTTCAAGTCCCACCTGGGTTGTCTTTGATGCAGTTCCTTTTAAGTTGGCTGTGCAGCACAATCCAGTGTGACCTTCAAAAAGCTAGGTTCATACCCTTGGGTCAAAAAGACATGACAATGGAAAACTCGTCAGAGAAGCTGTTTTGTCATTAGGTGTACACACCAGATCGTCTGAATGCAATAGGGATCCTAAAGTGCTGTTTTCTGGGTTACAAGAACTTTTTGAGCCATACAACAGATATGGCGAATGCTAGTTTTGGCCCAGTGGTCTAATGGATTAGGCATCACTCTTTGAAGCTGGGGATTGTGGATTCAAGTCCCATTTGGGTTGTGTTTGTTGGGTTAAATTTAAGTTGTGTGAAAAAATCCTCACTTGTCTACTCAAAGCTTAGGTGTGATGATCTGAGGACAATAGTTAGCTTCAAATTCTCAGACTTGCTGCACACTTCAATTAAGATTTATCCAATCTTGCTTGAATATAACTGACATGGCCTAGTGGCCTAATGAATAAGGCATCAGCGTCTGGAGCTGGGCATTGTGGGTTCAAGTCCCACCTGGGTAATTTTTGAAACTCTCACTTTAAGTTGAGAGCGATGTTTGGTGGATGAAACACAGTAGCTGTGAAAACATTCTTGAGATGTGTTTGCGTGTCATTAACTTCCTTCATTGGCATGCATATTACCTGTTATGACTAAAAGGGTAACAAAATTCTTAACGCGAAAGGTCATTTTGAATCGTGCATGGTGCCTACAGAGAAGAGACTGTACAAACACAAAAATGGTGCTCACATATAAAGCTAGTGGGTTGTTCAAGATCCATAAACAAATCTAAAAATCGAATCATTGCTGCTTTTTTTTGTCTGATTAATTGTACATGGTAGACTGATTTACAGTAGGTGAGAGTTCAATGTGGCTATTACCGCCGGGCATATACCACCGCCGCTTTAAATGGACAAGCACGTGTTTTCAATGATTGACAGCAGTTTGTGAATATGCCGCCAGGGGGCACAAAGGGATGTGAACAGCAGAAATAGTATATACAGTAGCTGTAAATATGCTACTGTTCTTATAAATGAAGATGAAACGATAAAACGAAGCATTTTAATTCCTTCATTAATCATTAAACATTTGTTAACACGCTTTATTATCATTGTAAACTTAAAAAAGTGCAATGAGGATTCATTTTGGAAAATAGAATTGAAGAAATAAAGACAACTAAAATAAAAGCACAAACATTCAGAACAAATAAGTAGGCCTAAATAAATAAATAAAGCAGTCTTTTAGACTAAATACAGATATGAGTAATTTGGAAATATTAATGTATTAATATTAATAATAATGTGGGAAATATTATTTTAAACTAGAATAAAATGTTTGTCAAGACAAACTTTAGGCTGGCTTGAGAAAGCTTAGACTGAATGTTTTTTAAAGTAATTTTTAAAAGCTTAAATAAAAATAGTGCTTAAAAGTAGTTGTACGTTTTAACAAGCTTAACATTTAAAGCAGTTTTAAGTTTAAAGTAGCTTAAAGTTTTGAGTAAATTTTTTTTATTAATTACATTATTTTAAATCTACTTTATTTTGATTGGACTTCAACTGCATATGTGTTATCTACTACAATGCAAAGTTACTTGTCAAATAAATGACCACGGAGCATTAATTTGAGTTTAAGTTATTATCTTGTTCATGAAAACTGCATGCATGGAAAAAGAGAAAAAAATCAGTTAAAGATTTAATAACTCTCCTTAAAAAAACTCACCTTTTATTAGATTTAGATTAGACTTTTATTACATTTAAATGGTTGTTTGTCTCCACCTATTGTCATAATAATGTCATTTCTACAGATTTATTCTGTCATCATTTTGAGTGAATAAATCATTTTTCCATGGTTTAGTAAATCATAGTTTTGGCTTTTCCTACCAGGCAGAAAGGAGCTTTAGTTATTACATAGTTTTATCAAAACTTGTCAATTATTTATTGTCAATTGTTTGCACACAATAATGTTTTGTCTTGGTGATTGGACCTTCCAGTACAGAGACAAAAAGTATATAGTGCAAAGTTCTGCAAACACTAATAATATATTACATGCACAAATGTATAATATAAAATGATAAAGAAAAACAGTATTGCTAAAAAATGTTACTTATACAATATGTGAATTATTTGCAGATATAAACCTCACAAAGACCTCACCAAGATAGGCTACTCTGCATTAAATCATTTAGTAATAATGACCTGTTAAATTAAAATGGTAACTATGTTTAATGTTTATGCAGTAAGAGTTTGATAACTGCTATTGATCTGATATTGGTAATGTATATTTTTGTGTGGAGAAATACATTGATTTAAATTGTCTATTCATTGCCATTATATATTGATAATTGTATATTTTTATGTTTACTTGAGTATCTGTTTATCGTTCACACATTCATAAAGAAGTCACACTGCCAGCACTGAAACACTTGTCACAGTATCTTCTCATTATGTGTGTGTTTAGTTACATTTCAGATTGTGTAGCGAGTAAGCTACAGATTGGAAGGAAAAAAAACTGGGAAAAAAAAACAAAAAACGTGCAAGTTTGTGATCTTTTTGGGATTCATCCGATCTAATTTTGCTGCTAAATTAGAATAAAACAGTAATTTTCATCAAAAATTTATAATATATTTTTACATTTTCTATACCGTGGCAGAACCCCAAAAACTAGAAAAAAAGAAGTGAAAGACGATAGCAAAGTGATAGCTCAAAAGGATAAATAGAAATATTAATTTAGAATCACGGATGACTTGTTTAAGCGCAATAGCTCAAATACATGTCATAAAATAATAATAATAACAATCATAATTTAAATAATGAAATTATAACCTATCCCAATCCTGACATAGCTGCGTTTAAATAATAACTGAAGACGCTCCTTTAATGCATTCGCATGTTAAATTATTTTAAATTAGACGCCCCATCCATAACCAACCTTAAATCATACCTTAACTCTCTGTTTAACTTTTCCAAGTAAACTTTTGTTAAAAATGTTTTGTGACATTCTCATAAAATCTCTCTGGTTTTGAAAATCTTTGTTCGTAATTGTTCTTAGCCCTGTCAATGTTTATCTATTTTTTATTATTATTATAATATTTCCTCTCCTGTTTCTCTTACGTTTATATTCTTTAGCTGTCAATATAATACTTAGCGTCTATGGAAGAAAGAGTCAATAAAGATAGACAATGTGTAACATCATATTCATCAAAAGACGGTTTATGTGCAAGTAACCGCACCGGTCCGAGCAGGTAACGAGCCAGCATGGGAGACAAGCTCCGATAAGATTGCAGAACAACGTCTGTCCCTGGATCCGAGGAGTGAGCTTTACGCGATCACCAGCAGGCTTTCGTTACATAAGGGCAAATATAGATGACTAAACCCTCATTTACTCATTTTACTCATACTTTTTATTATTTATAATGTCCAAGGCATTGATATTAAAATTAAATGCTACTTTTTTGCCTTTATTAGCCTTTTTCTCGCCTGTTTACTGGGTTAAAAATCTTACATTATTCCATCTCCTCCTGCTGGTGAAAGCTAGAGCAGCTGGCGATCTTCAATCTGCAATCTATTGCTTCTCCTGCAGTTCCCGGATGTAATGTTGAATTTTAACAGTCGAATTTGATCCACTGAATTTATGGAAGCGAATATTTGAACTGAAATAAAATGAACTGAAAATGACCTTTTGAATATTATACATCGTATTTTTAAAGGGTATTGAATATTTTGTAAGTGAAATCTGAAAATTGAATATGAATTATTGAATTTTTAAGTATGAAAACGTGTTTGAAATATTTTTCGTTGAAATATTCACAGCTTAAATAAACAGATATGTTAAAATTCAGGACCTAAAAATACAAACCCTGGAATTCAAGTCATAAAAATGCAAGAACTTGTTAATACGGTGTATTATTTTTTTCAGTTTGTGATATTCCACAAGCTTTTTAATTCAAGACTTTAGGCATTGATTTTGTTCCATACACAGGCCTTTATCAGCATTTGTAAAGGTTACTAACGCTCCAGTTTCTTGCAGCACTTCACTGTTCTGAATTCTGACTGTAGTTTGGTTTAATGAAGTTTAATGTCATCTCAGTGTGATCAATGCCTAAATGCTTTATTGAAATAAAGAAGTGTTTAGGTTTAGTCTTAGATTTAATTTCACATTAATTAAAGCAAATGAACATTGAAATCAAAGTGTCTTCTCAACCCTGTTACAGTCTTCACCCCCGTCACTGTATTCTCCACCCTGTGACGTTCATATTGTTTAAGAGAAACAATTAAACATAGAAAGACTTCTTGCTGAGGACCAGCCGCCATGTTAAGCCTGACATTGTGAACATGTGGTTTGGGTAAGACATCTAAAGTTAAAGCTTTTTTAGAGAAATGAAGAGAGCACAGATGCATAAGTTGTATAATTATAATTAAATCACATCTGAATCTAAAACTCCTCAGAAATGTGATGTTTTAGCCATTAAACTGGTTTGAGGCACACATGAGCAACAGGGAAATGTTGGTTTTACAGCAAAAGCTTTGTGAAATCCTATTATTAAACTCAGTTTAGTCCGTTACGGGGTTGAGAATAGCGGCTGTGCAAATAAGAATAAAAGAGAAAATAATATAAAGCTTTAATGGCTGAGGGGGGAAAAGATGATGTTGTGAACGCTTCAATTGTGCCTCATGATGTCGGCTATTTAACAATATCATCAACACACTTTTAAACATGAGTTTGCTCAAGCTGAACTATTAGCCAACGCCAGGAATGAGCCTTATATTCTCTCAACTCTTAAA